CAGTGCTGTACCTATCCGTCACAAGTTGATCTCGTGTCGCTGCGACGCTCGGTCCCGGGGCCGATTGATCTCGTGTCGCTGCGACGCCCGGTCCCCAGGATCAGGGCCCTGTTTATCTCGTGTCAATGCGCCGCCCGGTCCTCAGGATCGGGCCTGGGTTCAACTCTCTCTGTGTGCAGATTTTCAGCGCTTCGCAGCAGTTGCATTTACCGTATCAATTATATGGGAGGCCTATAGTTGCTTTCATACCGTTGCTGGAGAAAATATACGCCTTAGCAGACAGCTTGCACGGAAGTACATCAAAATGCAACCAAAGCGAAATGTGACGATTCACGCTTCCGGTTTCTAAAAACTGCCTGGACTTTTAATTAGAAGTTGCAAACATATTGCTTCTAGTCTTCATAGGAGTGTCGGGAGGGCTTATCACGTATTGTCTCTCTGTTTAAATGAAAGCATTCAATGCCATTCTGGCACAGCTAATCTCACCTCATTTGGTTAATTCGAAGGCAGACGCTCTAACCGGCTGAGGTACCAGAGTGTGCAGGGTACATCCTACCTGGAATAATTACAAGAAAATTCGGTGCACACATGAATTAAAACGTAGTGGTTTTCAACATGTCCTCCTGTCATTCAAGGGGCCAACAGCGCACCTGTGTGTACGTTGCGTCATGTCATGTGCCGGCCCGCTGGGAGGTCGGAGTGGCGTCCCTCGCAGACTCTGCCGCGCATGTATCGGGCCGTTCTATCAGAGCAAACACCCGTTCAATTACACAGACGGGCTCGCTACTGCTCTTTGACCCGCGCCGCCGGCTGGCTAATCTGAGCACGCCGCGCCGCCGGCCGCGGCCGCGGCCAGGCACGCCCGGACGGGTGACGGGGACGTCCGTCGCGGCGGTGGCCGGGCTCGGCCGGACGGGTGACGGGGACGTCCGTCGCGGCGATGGCCGGGCTCGGCCGGACGGGTGACGGGGACGTCCGTCGCGGCGGTGGCCGGGCTCGGCCGACGGCGAGCGTTTCCTCCGGCCGGACATGCGCAGGGTGGGACGCCCAGGCCACCACCGGCGGAATGACGGACCGCTATCTACAGGTGACAGACGCACCCAATGGACGCGCTGGCTGGGATAGGCAATTATCATAGGCCGCTATCACTGGGATAGGCAGTTATCATAGGCCACTATCACAGGGATAGGCAGTCATCATAAGCCGCTATCCCAGGGATAGGCAGTTATCAGTGTCATGTGCCGCTCGCCTCTTGTACGGATGACGACGGAAACTGTTGCTTGCCAGCAGTTTGCAGATGTCAGCTGTTGTTTGGTTGTCCGCTGGTCCCGGGCAGGCAGAGGCATCGCTCGGCTCTGTGATCGGGTGCTTGCCAACACTCACCAGGCCTAGGTATCAATCCGCGAGCAGTCTCCGTGGCAAATTCTTATGCTGCACGGAGTAATATTTCCGCGTTGTATGCCGTACCTATGCGTACATGGTGTAGGTGGAAAAAATTATGGGCATCAGGTTTGACCACGCTTAGAGTTTATCAGAAATATAGAAAAAAGTTTCTGATCTCATTACACTAAGCTGACTTATCTGATATCGACAAATCACACCAGACTAACTTATCCAGATTGTCTCGCCTACACAACACGCACGCGCCACAGCACTGCCCCCAGTTAGACCCGTACTATCGGAACCATTTCTCAGCCTTACCTGTCCAATTCTCCGCTAGTGTTGGCCGTTGATGGGACGACCCATTGATCCTGAGCCACGCGACACCGCCGGAGTTTATAATCCAAACAGGCAGAAAGCTCTTGTCGTGTTGGTCAAACTTCCGAGCAGTTGACACAGCTATTTGACGTTGACCTGAAAGCTTTTCGGTCAGCGAGTTTTGCTTAATTGGAGCTCCGCTCCGCGCATCATCAAAAAGTGGACGCCATGTATCCCAATCCAAGCCAGCGTAAATGTTTGAAGCATGTTGTGGTCGGATGAACAAACATTCGTTCATGTAGAAGTGTTCAAATCAAACCCAATGACCTCTGGATCATAGCTTCGTTCAATTTGAGCACAGACTCAACAAACTTGTCTTACAATTAATTCCAAAAGAACCTTGTTATTGACTTGTGACAGGCCATATTCCTGCACTTTTCGGTGCCTAGCCGACATCCACTACACATAAAAACCAGGGTAAGTGGTTGCATAGTTCAAAGTAGTCATTTCGGTGCGTCTTGCGCATACATGAGGTTCTTCCAATGCGCTGTAGGTGAAGCATTGTCATAGTATGCCGCACGCAGAGCCAATGGTTCCTCCGTGGTTTTTGGCGAATCGTCACTAATTTCGATATTCTTGTCACGTTATGCAGTGTCGACACAGCTAAATACTGTTCTTGGCTTCACACAGTGATTGAAGCGGGGACACCGTTCGCACACGCCGCTAAGATGGGCGACCGAGCACCCAAGAAACGGACCAGCTGGGAGGGCAACGAGGCCAGAGCGGTCGGCTCAGGGCGGCTGCAGCCCTCCACGCGCCACCTCGTCAACCGCTCCATTCAGACCCAGACCGAGGGCGACGCGCCGTTCAAACTGCGGCGCGCGCTCTCCGACTGGTCGCTGATCGAACGCGGCCCGCAGACACTGCGCGCTCGCTCCAAGAGGATCCGCCGCGTCGCACAGCTCTTCGAGGAGCTGGCGGAGGCGGCGGCCGCGCGCCGCGCCGAGCTGGAGCGGCCTGGTCACCGACCGCCAGCCGCCGCCGCCGCCGCGCGGGCTCCGACCGAGCGGGAGGTGCGGCTAGTGCCGATGCCGGCCGCCGCGCCCAGCGCCGAGGCGCGCCGCGTGGATGCCCTCCTCGCGCTGGGCAGCGGGCTGGGTCCAGCCCGGCCCGAACCGGAGGAGCCGACCGACGGGGACGAGCTGGACGAGGAGCTGCTCTGGGCCAAGGTGCGCGCGCAGATCGCGGCTCGCCGCACCAAGTTCCAGCGACTGGAGGCGGCGTCCGGCACGCCGGCGGCGCAGGGGTCCGCCGGCCGGCCGGAGCCGAAGGCCGACAGGAAGTCGGCGCCGCCGGTGCTGAGGCAAACGTCGCTGACGGCGTGGCGCAAGTCGCAGACGGCTCAGCCACCAGCGGAGAAGAAGCGCACGACGTCAGAGCCGCCGCCAAAGCAGATGTCGCCACAGGCGTTCAACGGCAGCGCAGTCAATGGCTCTAATGGTCATGCAAATGGTCATGATCTGAAGACGACGAGAGGCTGGAAGGGGAAGTACATTGAGCAGAACGAGGAGCAGACGGTAAGATAGCTCGATCAACCGACAAACTGCTTTTGCCTTGTGTATTGCTATAAAGGTAATTAAATCACGTTCTCTTTTCCATTTAAATTTCATTTAATTAAATTTTCCCCCCCAAATTCAATTAAATTTTTCATAAAAAACATAAGACATATCATCAGCTTGGCAGGAAAAGGAAAATTTGACAAAAGCTTTACTAACCATTTTAGATTACATAGAAAGAAAAACGGTAGATACTGCGTTTGTCCCCCGTCCCTCCCTCTGTCATCCACATCCTGAGGCTTCGACACCACTGCTTGCAATCGCTATACGGACAAACCTGCCAGTTCTTGCGTTTTGTGCACCCAACAGTGACCCGGTCATGGCCATCGATGCCCGACAAATGTGGTGCGAATGCATGACTTGTGGGCCGCAGACTGTATATCTCAGTAATATTGCTCCAACCGGACACAAAGCTATCACTTATAATCACCTTGCTTCAGGGCAAAAACGATCTGCTAAGATGCCAGCCATCAAGGCCTGACATGTTGAGTGCTAATCCATGATCATAAGTAGCCCGTGCTAAGCAGCGCGAGGCATGCAAATACTGATTTTGGCCAGTTTCACCTGATTTCAGGTGCTTCAAAGTCTCGGCAGTGCTGTGTTGGCCAAGCACAAGATGGCGACGAAGCAGAAGTCGCGTGCGCACCTGGAGAACAATATGTCAGAAGCCGAACGACGCTTGAAAAGAGCACAGAACCAGCACAGCGCTGCGCAGCTTAAGCTCGACAAGCTGAAGGGCAGGCTGACCCGAGACAGTGCATTCGAAAGGAAAGGGTACGCAAGGGACCGTGTCGTTCCCTGCTCCGATTACGATGATCACTGTGCCGTTTGCTGCTCGCCATGTCTTACTGCGTGAAAAACCTTACATACGTGCGTCACACATGTTCACCAATTATGTATCGCCCAATGACAGGCTTACTGGTGACCCATCCCCATCAGAAGTTTCAAAATGTGACTGAGATCGGACGTTCTTTTCAGCGCTGCCCCGTTCGTTTAAACACTTTGTGAGTACGCCGCCCCAGCGCAGTGTGCTGGGCCAATGAGCACAGCCTGAGCGCTGACGCCGGTCTCTGCCGGCAGACTGGAGGCGCTTCTTACTCGCCTAAACAACACGATCAAGGGTGAGCAGCGTCAGATCGAATGGCGCACTCTCCAGATCGCCGAAACGGACGCCAGCCTCGAGGAGCTGGCGCGACGAGCCGGCCATCTAGCGGCGTGAACGAGAACCCTTGCAGGCAGCGTTGGTGAGGCGCCGTTGTTTGAGTTGCGGCGTGTGCTGAGCGAAGGGAGCCATGTGATTGGACGCTTTAACATCAACGTTGATTTTTTGCTGTCTTGCACCAAATGTCGCAGCCTGAATGAAGAACAGAGTCGACTGATTCGCTGGACGTAAACAGGAACTACACTCTCTTCGTGCTAAATATTACCAAAGATGTGCACACAGCTGGCCACTTATGCACCTGTCCTTCGAGACATATTTGAATAGATATGTGTCAATTCCTGTTATGATCCGGTCACCATATCGGCCGTTTTCTGGAAAAATCTAAACGTTGATCTCACCAGAAGCCCGGGTTAGAGTTCAAGCATCCCAAGTGTGCTGTCCACGTCAGCTTACCATTGCAACAAGCTCTCGTTCATCCCGAACTGAAGACAAGGCAGTAGTGAAATTCAGTGGAAACGCGTCAGTGGGTCTGCAAATGCAATGTATTGTACCAAGCTACATGGAGAATGCTGTTCCTTCATATCAAGATCGGCTGTAAAATATACTCCATATTATGTTGTGTGTAAACGGTCACAAATCAGCACCGCACAATCAGTAATAAAACTACAAATATGTATCACAAGTACACAGTACTGTGACGCGTGGCACATCCCCAGACCGGTGGATCGCCACCACTCGCGCACGACCCACTAAAGACCCTCAACCAAGACTGGCGCGAAACCGGGGCCGACGGACCAGCGACAGGAGAGCGGGCCGCGCCCCGACGGCGGGCGCGCCAACAGCGGCCGGACGGGGCATGCCTCCACAGACAGCGGCCCGAGCACGGCACAACCCAGGACCAGCGGCAGAGAGGGGCCCACAGCCCGGTGAGCAGCGCTCCCACCAGGCGGCCGCCGCCGACCTCAGGGGCCGGCGCCGAGCGGGCCCACGCGGCGGCGAGGTCGGACAATGAGCAGGGGAGGCTTCAGCCCTGAGAAGGCTGTGCACATGATGGCCATGTTGACAGCGGCTGCCGCGAAGGAGATGAAAAATATTTTAGAACCATGCACGGACTCTGCCAGCTTATACCGCGTCGCCAAATGATCAACTAGAATCATCCCATTATAACGATCATCGGCGTACCACACCTGCTTGATCGCAGCGCAATCATTCCATTTCGTGTCACAACATAAAGTTGCCGTTTTGCGTTACAACAAGCAAGCCAGCAGTAAGGAAGGATGACCATGCCGTTTCGCCTACACATACGCGCGCCCACAGCATCGCTGACGAACTCTGTACCACAAATCCTCCCACTGACTGGGTGGCACATGCTCGCAGTAAAAACCGATTTCATTCACGCTAGTGGGAAACGCAGTCACGCGAACAACACCGCTGATGTCCATTGGTCCACACACCTTCCACGGTTCGGACATGTGAGGGGTCGCTTAAAACCTTCCATATAGGCTGAGAGTAGCCGTAAAACGACGGCCTTCGCAGTCACATAGAAACGGCTCTACATTTAGATCCTTCACAGCAGCGCTGACAGCCGACACGCCTCTGCGCAGGGACAGACAAGTCTGCAGGCCTCGACGCGAGGGCGCAGTGACCCCGGCACAGAATCCGTCGCCACTCGCTGGCTCCAGGTCACCGTTCAGTGGTCTGCACACTCAACCGCTGGTCCGAGTGCTCCCGGTCCCCGATCGGCGGCCCCTCCACCAGTCCAGTGGTTCTGGCTGCCGCGCTGGGTCCTGGTCCCCGCTCGCTGGTCCCGGCGGCGGCTGCTGGTCCCTGGTCTCCGCCCGTTGGTCCCTGGTCCGGCGCCGGGGGCCCGCCGGTCCGCAGCGCTAGTCGGCCTCCTCGTCGGTCGGCTTGTGGAAGCCGTCAGCGATATCTGCCGGGTCGAACTGGCGCTGCTTTTTCCGGTCGTTCCAACGCAGGCACTCGTCGAGCGACTCGAACCAGTCGGCGATCTGGTCCGAGGCGCAGATCGACGGCACCGGGTAGATGGAGGTGGTCACTCGCAGACTGCGGCAGGGTCGAATGTCAGAGCGGAACAGCGAACAGCACAGGACATCACCGGGTAGATGGAGGTGGTCACTCGCAGACTGCGGCAGGGCCAAATGTCAGAACGGGACAGCGAACAGCACAGGACATCACCGGGTAGATGGAGGTGGTCACTCGCAGACTGCGGCAGGGCCAAATGTCAGAACGGGACAGCGAACAGCACGGGACATCACCGGGTAGATGGAGGTGGTCACTCGCAGACTGCGGCAGGGTGGAATGTCAGAACGGGACAGCGAACAGCACAGGACATCACCGGATAGATGGAGGTGGTCACTCGCAGACTGCGGCAAGGTCAAATGTCAGAACGGGACAGCGAACAGCACAGGACATCACCGGGTAGATGGAGGTGGTCACTCGCAGACTGCGGCAGGGTGGAATGTCAGAACGGGACAGCGAACAGCACAGGACATCACCGGGTAGATGGAGGTAGTCACTCGCAGATTGCGGCAGGGTGGAATGTCAGAACGGGACAGCGAACAGCACAGGACATCACCGGATAGATGGAGGTGGTCACTCGCAGACTGCGGTAGGGTCGAATGTCAGAACGGGACAGCGAACAGCACAGGACATCACCGGATAGATGAAGGTGGTCACTCGCAGACTGCGGCAAGGTCAAATGTCAGAACGGGACAGCGAACAGCACAGGACATCACCGGGTAGATGGAGGTGGTCACTCGCAGACTGCGGCAGAGTCGAATGTCAGAACGGGACAGCGAACAGGACAGGACATCACCGGATAGATGAAGGTGGTCACTCGCAGACTGCGGCAGAGTCGAATGTCAGAACGGGACAGCGAACAGGACAGGACATCACCGGGTAGATGGAGGTGGTCACTCGCAGACTGCGGCAGGGTCAAATGTCAGAACGGACAGCGAACAGGACAGGACATCACCGGGTAGATGGAGGTGGTCACTCGCAGACTGCGGCAGGGTAAAATGTCAGAACGGACAGCGAACAGGACAGGACATCACCGGGTAGATGGAGGTGGTCACTCGCAGACTGCGGCAGGGTCAAATGTCAGAACGGACAGCGAACAGGACAGGACATCACCGGGTAGATGGAGGTGGTCACTCGCAGACTGCGGCAGGGTCCAAGGTCAGAACGGGACATCGAACAGGACAGGACATGACCGGGTAGATGGAGGTGGTGAGCCGGAAACTTCACCACGATCACGCACCGAAACAGGTAATGATGTTCAATACTGCACAACATTGCAACGGGACAACTGCCAGCGTTGAAAACTGCAGTCGCAGGCGCCAGCACGGACCGGCGGGAAGGCGATACCAACAGTCAGCACACACGCGATGTCAAGTAGTGACATTTGTCAGGCGACGTTGTTTCGGTCGAAAAAACACTGTCAGTGGGTGGCGAATCAAACGGGAGGACCATACCACCACGACACGGCTGGCAAGAGGCGGACCTCACGGGTCCCATGGGCCAGCATTACTGCACATACACTGAGAACTCACGGGACAGCCGTCACCGCTGTTAGTGGTCTGCAAAAAGGTAACAATTTCTGGGACCGACAGCGGTTTCTCAGTCCACTAAATGCTGAGGTCACCAAATCGGTCGGCGAAATATGTAATATTAACATGCGCGGTGCTCATTTCTGTAAAATACCTTGCAGTGTAAGCACCCGCTGGCACTGTTATTGACTGGCAGCCTAGCGCAGCTGGGGGGGGGGGGGGGGTCACGTGGTGCAAGTTACCGCCGGGGGCCATGCCAACCGCAGCTACCAGCTGGTCGCTGGGTGAAAACCCGACACCATTCGACGCATGACACAGCTCTGCACTTACCACCAGGTGCGAGAAAGGAGATAGGCTTGCCCGTCCACCGGAACCTGAGCTACTGCGACGGCATCCACAATGTGCTGACATTGCTTCACTATGTTACAGTCGCGGGCATGCTTGAATTTGGCGCACTACACACTTATACCTTGTTTTGGAGATAAGAAAATATACATTACTCCACGGACAGCAGTCTGGGAAATCTAAGCAACCATGCTTTTTGGATGACCAGATAGTATCTTGGCATCGTGTTTTAACCTCAGCTTTAGCAAAAACAGTGAGTATTCTCCCCACTCTCTGGGATCCCCTCCTCGTCCGGGGTAAGGCCCCTTATCCTGACCGCATCTAGACCATGGACGTAGGAGTTAGAACGACATGCAGTTTTGAGGCTCAAGCGTCTAGTGCCATCTACCGGGCAAAGCCGTAAGCCGCGTTTACGGACGACGGGTGACAGGTGGCCGGGCACCGACCTATCTCCTTCCTTCAGCTCCTGGTAGTGCATGCCGTCGAACGAGACCCAGGCGGTGTTGCGCGCGGCCGGGTTGAGGCAGATCTGCAACAGGGCCGTCGGGGGGCGGTCAGCGGCCGGCCGACGCCGTCGCTCTGCCTCTCTCACCTGTCGCCGTGCCGCAGTTCCTGGCGGTTCCGCCCGTCGAACGACACCCAGGCGGTGTTCCGACTGTCGGGCGACACGGCGATCTGCCGCCGCACAGGGACGTCCAGGTCACACAGAGACGGCCGCGGTCACGGCCAGGTTACACAGAGGCGGTCACAGCCAGGTCACACAGAGGCGGCCGCGGTCACGGCCGGTCAGAATGGTGACGGCCGGCGCCCGTCACACCGGACACGCCGGGTCACGGCCGGGTCATACAGGGTACACCGGGTAGGCCGGGTCACGACCAGGTCATACAGGGTACATCGGGCACGCTGGGTCACGACCGGGTCATACAGGGTACACCGGGCACGCCGGGTCACGACCGGGTCATACAGGGTACATCGGGCACGCCGGGTCACGACCGGGTCATACAGGGTACACCGGACCAGGTCCGGGTTACGCAGTGTGTCTTGAATTACGGCCAGGTCAAATAGGGCACTTCGAGTTACAGCCCGGTCAAAAAGGGCACTCAGCGGCACGGCCACGTAAAAGAGGACACTTCGAGACACGGCCAGGTCAAAAGTCACTCCGGGTCACGGTCCGGTTAAACAGGGCACTCCGAATCAGGAACGGCGCCAGCGGTACAACCCATCAAAGAACACGGGGATCACGGGCAATATGACAAGACCTCTCGCGTATAGTCCACAGTCCAGCAAAGCACGAGCTACAGCTCGATGCGTCTCACAAGACGCTGATGGATTTTGGAAAGCATCATGATTTTCAGTTTTCAGCCAGGAACATTAGCAGATTTAACACAAAAGCGCGTTCGTCTGCCCATTCAAAACGCCGGGCATGAGATGAGCTTGCCACAAACAATCGGAATTTGCACCAGCTGCGATAACCGTAATAGGATCATCAAGCCAGAAAGCGATGACACCTAACGCCACACGACTACCGGTCGGATCTGGAACCTTTCATTACACACCCTAAGAGCTTCACGGACGCAGCACAATCCTGCTGCCCGCGTCCGACTCCTCTCATTCGCCCGATTCTGCGTACGGGCGGTTTTGTCAAGGCCCGTCGAAGACCGTCCCCGCCGCTGACCTCCCGACTGACCTTGAGCTCGACGCCGGCGGGCACAACGATCGGCCTGAAGGAGAGCGAGTGCGGACAGATGGGCGTCACCATAATGGCCGGCACGCTCGGGTGGATCATGCTGGCGCCGGCCGCCACCGCGTACGCTGTGCTGCCCGTCGGCGTGCTGACGATCAGCCCTGGCCACAGACGCCGGCCACCGGTCAGGCGACGGGCCGCGCCAGGCGGCGGTGGAGCGGCGCCACAGACGCCGGCCACCGGCCAGGCGGCGGGCCGCGCCGGGCGGCGGTGGAGCGGCGCCACAGACGCCGGCCACCGGTCAGGCGGCGGGCCGCGCCAGGCGGCGGTGGAGCGGCGCCACAGACGCCGGCCACCGGTCAGGCGGCGGGCCGCGCCGGGCGGCGGTGGAGCGGCGCCACAGACGCCGGCCACCGGTCAGGCGGCGGGCCGCGCCGGGCGGCGGTGGAGCGGCGCCACAGACGCCGGCCACCGGTCAGGCGGCGGGCCGCGCCGGGCGGCGGTGGAGCGGCGCCACAGACGCCGGCCACCGGTCAGGCGGCGGGCCGCGCCGGGCGGCGGTGGAGCGGCGCCACAGACGCCGGCCACCGGTCAGGCGACGGGCCGCGCCAGGCGGCGGTGGAGCGGCGCCACAGACGCCGGCCACCGGTCAGGCGGCGGGCCGCGCCGGGCGGCGGTGGAGCGGCGCCACAGACGCCGGCCACCGGTCAGGCGACGGGCCGCGCCGGGCGGCGGCGGAGCGGCGCCACAGCTGCTGGCCACCGGTCAGGCGGCGGGCCGCGCCGGGCGGCGGCGGAGCGGCGCCACAGCCACCGCACGCACACCGGGACAACGCTCACACGGCAAGTACGTGTTGAAGCGATGAACTTGCAGGCGAGCTCATGCCCAAATGGTGGGATCACATCACAAACAGACATAGCGGCACAAAACACATGCGTACTCGCGCACACGCACACACGCAAAGCACACCGGTTTGTCGGACAGGATCGCTGAGTGTATTGCGCGCTGAAAATAAGGAGCGTCAACTCAACCGAGGTTCTCCTGCGACTGAGGGGTGAGGGGCAGCCAAAGCGCCCAGCACATATCTCAAAGCGCGTCAGCTCACATGTAGCAAGCGGGCGTTCGCAACAATCGGTCACACAGTCGCGGCCAGGCTCGTTCGTCACCGACTTCTTAAACGTAACACAACAGTGCTGTTGTCGTGGAGGAGCGTTGTCCGTCGAGCAGCCTCTTTTAAGACAAATACGTAGAAGGTTGCACAATGGTTAACTCCCCGGGGTTAACGCAGCTGTTACTTTTGTCAGGCGTTAGCTCCATAAGCCGTACTACTGTTACTGTTCAACTTAGTTTTACACGAAATGGTATGGAATGATAGGGAAGCTTTCAATTATGACGGCAATTGTAGTGTTATTTTGACATTTGGCAGCAGCCTCGGCCATGGTGCTACTGCCGGGGCATCTCACAAGAGCATAAGCAAACCAAAATATTCGTATTGTGCCTCATCTGTTGGGTTTGAACATACACCCTTAATAAACCAAATTTTCGCATAGTTTAACAAAAAACAGCAAATTTCGAAAATATTTTCGGGGGGGGGGCGAGGTCCCTAGAAACGCAAAACCTCCCCACGTGAAACCAACGGCTGCTAGGCAAAAGCAAACCTAGCCAACCTGAGAATAAGACAATCGCGAACCGTCACCATAGTTCAAAACACTACAGCCCATTCCAGAGCAGTGAGCACTCGGAGCGTAACGCCCCCCTCCAGAGCCGCACAGTGCGCTCACCGTCGCCCTGATACAGCCCATTCCAGAGCAGTGAGCACGCCCCCTCCAGAGCCGCACGTGCGCTCACCTTCGCCCTGATACAGCCCATTCCAGGGCAGTGAGCACCGGAGCGTGACGCCCCCTCCAGAGCCGCACAGTGCGCTCACCTTCGCCCTGATACAGCCCATTCCAGGGCAGTGAGCACTCGGAGCGTGACGCCCCCCCCCCCCCCCCTCCAGAGCTGCACAATGCGCTCACCGTCGCCCTGAACGGAGGTGATCTTCTTGCCGTCCAGATAGAGGTCGATGTTGCTCAGGTAGGGCGACGGGCCGCGGTCCACCACCACCTCGTTCAGCACCAGCAGGTTGATGGGCGGCTTCGACTTGGTGTCCGAGTCCTTCCGCAGCACGATACAGCGCAGCCGGGAGCGCAGCGTCAGCGCCGCGTGACCTGCGCACGCCGGACACACGTGCCACGTGACATACCCGGGCGTGACCTTCACACGCCGGACACACGTGCCACGTGACATACCCGGGCGTGACCTGCACACGCCGGACGCACGTGCCACGTGACATCCCGGGCGTGAAATAGGCACGCCGGACACACGTGCCACGTGACATACCCGGGCGTGACCTTCACACGCCGGACACACGTGCCACGTGACATACCCGGGCGTGACCTTCACACGCCGGACACACATGGCACGTGACATACCCGGGCGTGACCTGCGCACGCCAGACACACATGGCACGTGACATACCCAGGCGTGACTTGCACACGCCGGACACACGTGCCACGTGACACACCCAGGTGCGACCTGCACCCGTCAGGCACACGTGCCACGTGACATACCCGAGCATGACCTGCCCACACCACACGTGCCATGTGACATACCCGGGCGTGACACGCACACGCCGGACACACGTGCCACGTGACATACCCCAGCGTGACCTGCCCACACCACACGTGCCACGTAACACATCCGGGCGCGACCTGCAAACACCAAATACACGTGACATACTCGGATATGACCCGCATAAGTCTGACCCACACGGGGGTGACCTGCGCATACCGGGAATGTTTGTCACTTGCCCCACATCCCGAGATCGCCACACAACAGGCACACGCGCCACGGGACAGAGGCAGGGCTGACCTGCGCACCAGACGAGGGCAATACGTGACACACGCAGGCAAGCCGCGTGCACAGAGAATACGTGCCACGTGACACACACGCGGGGGAGCAAAGAACAGACTGACGTGGCTATAAGAAGTACGTCATCACGAGACGGCACAAGCCCGGGGATGACTGCACCGGCACGACGCACTCGAGATGACAGTCGCCAAGACCAAGTCCAGGAGACACTGGGTCCGCGGACCCCTGAGGTGCTCGTGAGCATGCCATCCCATGCCGGCAGAGCGGCTCCGTGCCTCCTGACCGGCGCGGCCGCATCTATGCCGGCAATGAGTGACTTGCCGTTCGCTTAGCTCTGACCTTGGCATCGGCGCCCGAGACAAAACAGCGGCCGCCTCCGCGGTCTGCGCCATGACTCGGGCCGAATGGCGCTGAGGCCCCAGCCCGGCGGAGAGGAACCGGTCGTGTCCCCACCTGCCCCAACCCTGGCCCGGCGGAGGGGAATCAGCCACCCCCAGCCCCGGCCCGGCGGACGGGAATGGGCCGCGTTCTCAGCAGCCCCCAGCCCCGGCCCGGCGGACGGGAATGGGGCGCGTTCTCAGCAGCCCCCATCCCCGGTCCGGCGGAGGGGAATCGGCCGCGTTCTCACCAGCCCCTAGCTCTGGGACGGGAGCCCCGCCCCCGATACAGCAGCCCTGTGCGCCGTGCGCACGCTCCTGACATAGTCCCAGGGAGATGAGACGGGCGCTGGGAGGGTAACGAAGGGGAGGGGAGGGGGAGGGGAGTCTGCAGGCGGCCGGCACGACCGCCGTCGGCAGCCCAGAGCGCCGATACACAACACGCGCGGACACTGACCTTCGAGCACGGCGTCCACTTGCTCCTGGAACTGGTCAAACTTGAAAGGCGTCAGAAAGCCGAGCGAGCCCAGGTGAAACGCCATAACGGGCGGGACTGATTGCTGAAAACGGCACACAGTCAGACACCGATCACATCCGGGGCTACAGCGGCCAGTCCGTGGGAACGCCAGACCGTGCCAGGCGGCGGCGCAGCTGGACTAGAAGCTTGCAAACAAAGCCAATAGCTACCGGTAAAAATGGAACAAGTTCTGATTCCATGGACGGGAATAAACACCACGAGGAGTCATCATTGGTTTCTTTTGATACGGGCTGCACATCTCCGGTGTCAGCTTCCCCCTCCCCCCTGTCCTCTGAATAGCTGACTGGCTGTCGGAATGACAGGCTGCCCACGGCCGCCCACCGCTGGTTTCGACCCCCCCCCCCCCCCCGCAGACGAGGCCCGCGCACGTACCTGGAACAGCGAGCTGGCGTATAGCAGGGTGCCGTCGCCGCCCAGGCAGATGATGAAGTCGATCTTGTCGGTGAGGTCGTCCTTGCCCTCGGTGAAGGTCTGAACCTTCGTCTCCAAGCCGGACCAGGCGGGCGCGCCCGCCAGCAACGGATCCTCCAGCGTCGAGTGCTCCACGAACACGATCATCTTCTTCTCCTAAGACGGCCGCACGGGTCGTGACTTCGGGCGTCAAAGGCTCACACGGACGTTTCACATTCGGAGGTTAAACAATGCCTACAAACATCGCGTGAAGGACTATTCTGCGCATTAATAGGTCAGATAACATACGCCTAGTACCGATTAACTGAAATCGCAAAATAGCTAACAACGATAAGTACCATCATTTCTGTTCTCTGCAAGAACCATGCGTTTTTTAAGTTGCGTACCGCCAGACTTTCAGGACCCCGGTATCATTTTGGTTAGTCCACAAAAAGTGATCGGCCAGGAATCCCTGCAACAGCACTTAGCAGGACGCACTTCTCGAGCGAGCCCTTCTAGGTATTCGTAGCCCGGTTGCCACTGCCGCCATCACCGTCAAGCGCTCGATATAGAAGAAGTCCTGCTTCAATTGGTACGACTATGCGCGACGCGAATCTGCGTCAGCATTAGACCTCACCGCCTCATTAGACATGACCGGCTTCAGTGCGATTCTTTCGCCGTCAAGAAGCGGCACCAAAGTCGCCCACGCCGCTATCGGCATTCGCCACAGAGCATCACCATGACACAATACGTTCAGAGGAATAACCCACCCAGCGGAACTTCGCAACGGAAATACCAAACCCCCGTGCAACAGATCTTGCTGCCCCCGACAGCTGCTCTCTGTGTGCCCAGTATCGTATGCAGTGGAGCATACCTGCCGCCTGGTCGCCTGAGGTGCGGCCGCCCGGGGTGGGGCAACACTGAAGCCTCCCCACACGCTCACCAGCAACCGACACGGGGGGAGGGAGGAAAGGGGGGGGGGGGCACTGACCGTGGTGAGCCAGCTGACCAGCTGGATGAAGGGCGGCAGCACCGAGGCGTCGCGCACCTTCTTGATGACGAGCACGGCCATCGGCGCCTTGTACCACGTCAGGCGCTGGCTAGCCGGGTCCTGGATGGTCCTGTCGGCGACACACGCGCGCGCGCGCCGTCAGTGCCGCCGTCGGCCATAGCCACCGTGGCGGCGCGGCAGCCTCAGGCGTACACGGCGAGCCAGACCGGACGGGGCGCACGGTCACAGATACACCTGAAATAAACGTGACATGGTAAACTGCGAGCATGAGCTCACGCCATCCGCGCTTATGACTAGCGATGTCGGCGACGTATCGGCGTCGCTCGCAACAGGCCCAAGGCGTTCAGGGACAGCTGCCTACGGCCGGTACTGTGTGGATCGTACCGTGCCCGCCCGGCCGACCCACGGCCGGTGCTGTACAGAAACCAAAGTACAATAAGTGACACCACACATCTACCTGGAATGCGAGCAAGCAGTCCTGTGAGGAAGGGAAGAGTCGAAGAGTCGGCACCGTCGCACGCATTGATCTCAACGGAACGGTTTGTGGAAAAAACGGGCGGGCACACCCTTCACATGGGGCATATGACGCCCGTCTCGATACACAATAGGAGCAAGCCCAGCAAGCACCATGCACGGTGGGCGACTGGCACCAGAGTCGACCGGGGACGGCCAGCAGACCCCGCCGAGCCGGCCGGCTCCTGGCCATCCCTGCCGGCCGGGCCAGGCTGCAGCGACGACGACCGACGGCGAGCGGGCGGTACCTGCAGTCCTGGCCGCGCCTCCGATGTGTAGCACCTGGTGCATCTGGCCGGGCGGCGGGCGGCCGGCCGCCGGGCCCGCACCGTCGGCAGCGCCGGGCGCAATCTTCGGAGCGGCCGAGCGCCGGCGCCGGCGCCGTCGGGCCGGGCGGACGGGCGCACCGCTCCGCCGTCACCGAGACGGCCGCCAGCGCGCCGCCCGCCGATCACCTCAGCCGTCTGAGGGCCGCCGGCCGCCCGCAGGAGGCCCGCCAGCGACGCCTAATCGGCACCCGAGGCCAGCGCCGACGGCCCGATAGCGACACCCGCGGGGCGGCCACGCACGCACGCCCCCCACCGGCTTCGGACTGCACCACGGTCCGGTCCGAGCGACGGCGCCGGTCAGCGGCGGGCGGCGACAGGCACAGACTGAGCGCCAATCGCAGGGCAGCGCGCCGGGGGGGGGGGGGGGTATGACCCGACCCGTGCTGCGGTCGGATCTACTGCGCCGGGCGCAGCCGCGCACCAACCCACACGGCCCGGCCTCCGGCACCGACTGGGACCCGCCTGGCCCGGCGCTCTGAACACCCTGCCGCGCGCAGGGGCGCGCCAATCAAGCCCACTGCGTCTCTTGACAGGGGACCAAGCTGCGTACAACCCCCTGATGGGCAAAGCCCCGAGTCGAACTTTAACGCATAATATCTGGCTTTGGCTGCTTTTGGACATTTCTGATGGAATGATTTCCACGTGTCTGGTTACGTATGCGGGGAGACAAACCGACGACCTCGGCTCGTCCCCTGACATCACCCTGAACACGGCACAGATTCAAGCGTGGTTGTTCCGGAGGCCCCACGCAAAATGGCTCTTGAACGCTTTTCAGCGTGCTCAAGTGGCTTACGTAACACAGCTGCGGAAGCGTTGCCGCCATCACAGGCGCCTCGCCGACAGCCCCACGTCATCAGCCCTGATCGAAGTCCACCTCCGTGCGGGCCGGACGCGCGCGTATCGCCGTGGAAGGCGGCGCGAGCGTGGAGTCAACGCGCCGCCGCGATCACCGCCACCTGACAGCGCCGCGAGGCGGCGATAGCGGCCGTTCCGCGCCACATCGCCGGCTACCTGTCTCTATCGGCGTGATCCAATGAATGGACGGCGTGACGGCGGCGGTCGGTTCTCTCGGCCAAGGCCACGACCGAGAGATGCGTCGTCATCGGCGCGATCTGGCAAGCAGCGCGCCGGCCTGCAACGGTGTGTGATGCCACTTGGCTTTATATTAGATTACTTTTCAACACGTCCGATCGCATAAATAGCTGGCTTCAGCGGTGTTACGTCCGGAGCCGCCTCGCGGCACAGCCTGCAGCGTACTCCCTGACATTAGGTATGGTCATAAACAGCTGCAGGACGGGCGGCGGTATCGAATTCCCAATCTCCGAGTGGGGAAGGACAGGTCCGTCCATACGCCGCCACGTTCCCGAGCCAGGCCCGCCCTCTGCGCCCGCTCCCACGGAGTACCCCTGACACTCCAGTCAACGGAGTGCCGCCGACAATGGCAGAGCACGGAGGCCGGCCGCCGTACCGCGGACACCGGACTCTGAACACAAACATGCCCAGTCGCCATAAACAGACGCACACGCCGCGACGCCATGACCGCGCCGCCGCCGACCCCGCCCGCCGTGGCGGCACCTGGTGACGGCCGCACAAGGCCGGCGCGCCTATCAACCCCTCACCGAATGCATCGGGTGAGACTCAACGGGTGGTGGCCCTCACCGACCGGCAGCTTTGATTATGATCCCGTCGGCACGATCGTTGCATGAATCATTTCGACCTTGAGGCGACTAGGGACGTTAAACGGTAAAACATTAAAATCTACCGAAGTTGTCACGGATTGCATTCCGGTAAGGCCGACTTAAGCCTTATTTGCATCACAATTTGATGCTGTCAGGAGACGTGGTCTGTAGCCTGGAGCATATTAGGCAAAAAAATCGGGTGAAACCGGTTAAGAATATTATCTGCGACCTTGAAATACACGGCAGTAACTATCAAATTAGTTACCGTAAGTGGAGAAGTTAGCAAGATTTTAGCGGTAAGCAGATTAGATCCGCAAGTTTAAACAGCAACAATATTTTTTAAGTATGTTTTCCATAACCTGTCTGAAAGTAGGCACCCCTTGGGTGAAAAATTCGTCGCAGCAAATTCCGACGACCGTTCGGCATCTGATATGTGCTCAAAGGTTTGCGGCTCATCAGAACACTCATGCTAAGTCGCTGACGCCATCAGCTGCGGATTGGCTCACATTTAGCTTCAGCTACAGCGAGCGCTCACACTGACATGAGCGATGTCAAAACGATGTTAATGAAAATGAAGAAACGTCCATCCACGAGAAACCTATACACGTGGTGAGGTCAGTGTATATGTTTATCTCCAATAGTAGTTAGTTACGGCATCTGCAAACAGGCATGCGGTATAAAGTAGCATGTTACGACGTCTGCAAACGGCCATGGATGGTGATGTGACATGTAGCGACTCTGCAGACGGCCATGGGTGGTGATGTGACATGTTACGACGTTTGCAAACAGCCATGGGTGGTGATGTGACATGTCACAACGTCTGCAAACGACCAAAGGTGGTGGTGTGACGTGTTGCGACTGCAAACGACCATAGGTGGTGGTATCATGTTACGACGCCTGCATTCGTAGGTGGTGATGTGCCATAACTGGTTAATCGTACAGCATGCTTCAGTCAACTAAATCATGTCGGTAGATCGGTCGTGAGTAAACAGTGTATAAATAACTTCACGACATCTTCTGTTGATGCGCATGAGATCAACCGATCCATCTGTCAGCATTAGATCAACGGATTCGTTTGTACCTTACCGTTGCTGGCAAATCTGTTCTTTGGCCGCGATTCCGCACGGCATCCAAAAAAACGGTGCTAACAGCGACGTTACGTAAACGTACACTAATACACACAATACGTACACGTTACGTGCACTATTTTAGTGCCAATTTTACGGGGAGTACTGGCCAGTCTAATATGATCTTCACCCGATTAGGGAAGGGATCAGGGTGTGCTGGCATTTAAGTGCAAAATTTTAGCTGGCATGAAGACCAGATGTGTTAACCTTTGATATATGGTTAAGGAGAAAGCTGCTTCCGAGAGTGTGAAATCCTGTCGGTAACACCAACATGGTGAAAGACGACAGTAGCTTTCCTCCTCGGGCCTTCCTATCTTCCCTTATGCGAATCTTCGCCGCCTTACGGTGCTTAAATAGTACTAGATAAAATGAAGATGCAATGCTTGATAATATGATGAAGACACTCATTTCCCATGCCGCTCGAACATGGGTACATCCAAAACTGAAAATAAGTTTTCGATGGTTCGTAACGCGCAATAACATTCACGCAGTGTCGTGGGTGCCGAGCATGCTCACCAAGAGGCTCCATACGGGACCCACGGCTACGACCAGCACAAACTGCGAGGAAAGCGGGATTTTTAACAGTTACAATGCCATCATCACATGATGATAAAGCGAGCGATATCACTTGTTTGCCGTTCCAAACATAATTCACATTATCTTCCAACCGAGTACTGTGAAAACATTTAATGGAATGCTTTGTCGGGATGACTTCGGGGTGAAACTTCTTGCTAAGCAGAGTTGGATGTGATGAGCCTGACTCTACCATCCAACGCGAGCAAAGCGAGTGAACGGAGTCTTTTTTCTGCCGGTCCTTCTACCGGTCCGGTCCTTTGCCGAAGTGCTGAATGTTTCTTATGGCCCATTCGACACGATGGATCTCACGGCGCAAAAGGCCAAGGTTAGCGACTATCGGGGGATTTACAACGCACCACGAGCAGACTTCTTAGAGAGGCCTTGGCAACTACGCAAAGCCGTTACACTCTGACATCCCACCGGGGTCAAAAGGACTCAAGCCACCGTCACAGAGGCCTCAGACGCCCCCATACTCACAGCCAAAAGGACTCAAGCCACCGTCACAGAGGCCTCAGACGCCCCCATACTCACAGCCAAAAGGACTCAAGCCACCGTCACAGGGCCTCAGACGCCCCCATACTCACAGCCAAAAGGACTCAAGCCACCGTCACAGAGGCCTCAGACGCCCCCATACTCACAGCCAAAAGGACTCAAGCCACCGTCACAGAGGCCTCAGACGCCCTCATACTCACAGCCAAAAGGACTCAAGCCACCGTCACAGAGGCCTCAGACGCCCCATACTCACAGCCAAAAGGACTCAAGCCACCGTCACAGAGGCCTCAGACGCCCCCATACTCACAGCCAAAAGGACTCAAGCCACCGTCACAGAGGCCTCAGACGCCCCCATACTCACAGTCAAAAGGACTCAAGCCACCGTCACAGAGGCCTCAGACGCCCCCATACTCACAGCCAAAAGGACTCAAGCCACCGTCACAGAGGCCTCAGACGCCCCCATACTCACAGCCAAAAGGACTCAAGCCACCGTCACAGAGGCCTCAGACGCCCATACTCACAGCCAAAAGGACTCAAGCCACCGTCACAGAGGCCTCAGACGCCCTCATACTCACAGCCAAAAGGACTCAAGCCACCGTCACAGAGGCCTCAGACGCCCTCATACTCAGCCAAAAGGACTCAAGCCACCGTCACAGAGGCCTCAGACGCCCCCATACTCACAGTCAAAAGGACTCAAGCCACCGTCACAGAGGCCTCAGACGCCCCCATACTCACAGCCAGAAGGAGGTGTTCCAGGGCGCCCTCGGCCGGCTGAGCCAGGGAAGGCCCGTCTGAGGCAACACCTTCATCTTCTGGGCGGCTGTGGGGCGCCGCACGGAACACACGAACCGAGAGCTGCGCGAGCGTGACCGACCACGGTACTGTGCGATTCTGCAGCGGAGAGCGACGGCTTGGTGGCGGTGCGCTCTCGGCCGGCAGCGCTGTCTCGAACGGCGACGCCTCCGCACGCACCGAAGCCGTCAGTGGCCGCTGACGACTCGGCCGGCGCCCAGGTGCGCCCCCGCTTATAGGGGCGTCTGTGGCGCCGCTGTTTCCGTCTGTTCGCACGGCCGGGTTTACCCACCGTCTTCCCGACCGGATCGCGGGGCACTTGGGCGCCCGAGCACGTTTCCGGCATACGCGGCAAACGCCCAGGTGCACGCCGCCCACCGGGAGGGCCGGTGACTGGACAGCCGCCGGCCACGCCCGGGCTGGCCGGCTCCACGGCTGGCCGACCCAGGTCAGCAGCCGGCACGCGCGCGCTCGTGAGCCAGGGGAGCCGATGTCGCCAGCACTGCGTCACCGCACGCCGCCCCGCCGTCGCGCGTAGTCACGCCGCGCGGAGCCAGCCGCGTGAAGGCGCGCCGCTGCGGAGTTACCCCCCACCGCAAACGTGTCGTGCCCACGTCATCGGAAAACGTGCAGGTGGAGGGGACTTCACAAAGACAGCACCCGTGGCATTGTCTGGCGGAACCGTCACGGATTCTCACCCTTTCTCATCCTTCTTTTCTTTGTCCATTCATTTCATTCAGTTATATGTTTCATTATTCTCCCGGATTGTCAATGACCCTCTCAGTACATTTAGAGTGGGGTCCTCGGACGTTTCCACACGACCGGTCTCATCGTTCCACTGACACTTCTGGCTTTCAAGGGAGCCTATCCAGCCTTGCAGCGCTGAGTGCCGACGGCGTCCCGTGTCGCGATGGGCGGCGGCCGTCATCAGCCCGTCGGACGGCCGCCGTCTTCGGCCCACCGTCGCGCGAACGGTGAGCGGCTCCGGCAGCCGCCGGGGCGCGCGCCACACACCCGCCTACACACGCACACGCTTGTACACGCACATGCGCGTCCACAAACACACGAGGGCCCGCACAGAAGCGCGCAACGTTGCACGGACCCAGACGGAAGGGCAAGCCGCGCCATGGCCTGGAGGCCCTTCTGCATGGAGGCGGCATGCCGTTCTGCATGCCGCCTCCATGTGGAAGGCAAGAAGGGCGTGAAACTGAATGCCAATGAAGCTATCAAGGGTTCATCACTGGAAACAAGAATCTTAATCCACGTTTTTTCGACTTTGATGACTTCAGGGTCGCATCTGTCCTTTATAGTGCCTTTTCAATGATAACGTCATTCGAGACGACAGCAAAAGCTGTGAACAGGATGCCATAAACGCAGTGCAGAGCAAAAAACAACGTGACGATCAAAACGCCAACACCAGACATAACCGCGTTCATTTGTACGGAAGTGTTCGCGCTGTTCGCTACACATTCCGTTGTTGTTTGCCATCGACATTCTCACCTGGTCTGCATCGAACTCAGGCGTCGCACTGTGGAACAGAGCAGAAGTTTGCCCCTGTCTCCCACCGTGACGACGGCCACGGCATACTCACATGACCATGGCCGAGTTCTTCATGATACGTCCGCATGGTCCGAACTGCTGTATGGGGCTGGGTGCGTTCAAAGAGCGGGTCCGCCTGAAACAGGGCCGTCGGGGTCACACAGAGCCGCCACCGAAGACGCCACGCCGACGCATCGAAAGGGAGACAAGAAACGCTTCTGCCCCGGCGGACGGTTCGGCTGCGGGGAGAGACACAAAACAGGGACAAAAACTACGGCGAGGACGGGGTCAAGGACAGTTCCACGTGATGCGGAAGGCGTGAAAAGAACGAAGATGGATTAT